CAACTGAACATCATCTGGAACTCAAAACAACTATCAACCAACACCAAAGCCACAATTTTCAGTACAATCGTCAATACAGTTAGATTTAATGGAGCGGAAACTTGGGGAACTAGTAAATCCACCATCTAGAAGATATAGTTGTTGTTGTCTACATTTATCTGCACAAGCTACCGAGGATCCGTTCTCCAAACACTATTAGTGAGAACCTAGTTTGGGAGAGAACAAACCAGATTGGAGCAAAGAAAGAAGTTAGAAAGAAGCGTTGGATGTGAATAGGGCACGTATTGCGAAAATCGACTGACCGCATCACGAAACAAGCCATCACTTGGAATCATCAAGGCCGTAGAAAAAGTGTTAGAACAAACAACACATTACGCCGAGAATCGGAAGCAGACATGAAAAGAATGAACGATTGTGTAGAACCGAAAAAGAAGGCTCAGTTCAGAGTTTATTAGAGAATGCTGTTCGGCGGCCGATTCATCATTAGGGATAACAAGTAAGGTAAGGTACGGTAGGGCTAAACTTCAAACCAAATAAGTGCGTTATTTCTTGTTCATTTGGTTCCTTTAAACTATGTAAAGTTAGGGAAACTGTTTTTGTTTTAAAAGCAATTTAGGGATATTCAGTGCAGAAACTTATTTCAAAACAATATTTTAGTAAGTAACTCTTGAAGCTTACAGAGATGTTTGTATGTTATTGAAATGAAAATCTCTGTATTTCATGTTTAAATTAATTTTGGACTTTAACACTTCACTCCGTTCAAGTCTAGATAGGATCTTTCTGTTACATTCATGTTAATCTATCAGTAACTACAATTTATTTGCATTACGTGGTTGTGAAGATTGTTAAGCTAACCTGGAATGCAAATTACCTATGCTCACTAGTGACTAGTGAAGTTCAGCCTGTTCAGGTGTAGATAGTAACTACCGAAGACTATGTATGAGGTTGCGCAACTCCGTGAATTGATTGAACTCAGACAATAACACCGTTTGACACCGGCTCAGTGGTCCAGAGGTTAGGCATTCACGCACGATACCGAAGGTCCTGGGTTCAGATCCTGAGGGGTGCAGGAGTCGAGGATGCGCACTGCTGATGAGTCCCATATCTAGATGAAACGGCCATTCAGTGCTTCCAGGTTTCCAATGGTGATCTAACATTGATCGATTGATGGTTTCAAAAATGAGTACAATTTATTTACTCGAATTTCATGAACAACTTTAAAAATTTCATTTTTTTTTCTAATAGATTTATTTATTGATTTATTATTCGTTTTTCACTATTGATCTGATTACATTTCGCATTGAATGATGTAGAGATGAGCAATTCAATAACAGTAAGAAGAAAAAAAATTCGAAACACAAGCGAGATTGTCAGTTTTACATATTTGGTTAGTGAGTTGAAGCTGGCGAAGAATCGTTGAAACACTAATGGAATGTTTGTTCAAAGATTTCAAGAGAAAAGTCCAATATAAGAACAACACCAATCTAACATTAGTATATTATTTAACACAGTGAGAAGAAAGAATAAGATGAAAAGTTTGTTGATAGCATGACCATTTACATTTCCGACTGCCAGATATATTGATCAAAAGCATTGTGTATTAGTCTGAAATCATTCAACTTCATGAGCTTGTCAACTAGTCACCTGAACTAGATGTAAGTCTATTTAAGTATCACTCAAAACCCAGATGTCACGGAGAATCGTTGAAATCCATTATACAGATACAATAATTTGGTTAGGATGCTTCAAAATCGACAGCATAACATGAACAAATTAAAATGGACTGTTGGATCAATTGTTACAAATACAATAAAATCAATTGTTTTTTATGTTTGAATGAAGTCTATTAGTTGAAATTTTCATTATTAGGAATTACTTATGAAATTACACAAGATGACATAGAGACCCAATGATCTAGACATTATCACCATTTTTAATATGAGTCTGATGAATTATTTATTTACAAACTTTCAGTCTTTCAGTCCTATTTTTTTTTTTTGTGAACCAAAAGATCAACACATTCAAAATAGGAGGTTTCTCATTTGTTTTTATGTTACTGATAGATTTTAAGAATATTATGACCTAGTAATATTCAATTTCGTAAGTGATTAACTTGACGCGAAGTATTGAACAATGAATGAACACACAATGCAATGCAGGTGGATGTTGAAGAAACAATCAAAATTACATGAACTGAAATCAATAATAATCGATTTATTCAAAAATCATACCTTAAAGAGGATTTTTAAAAAAAACACATCCAATCATTCTCATGATTGTGTAAAGAAACAGAAAGGAAAAAAAATAAAGGAATATATATAGAGACAATATTCTCGTAAATCATTAAATTTTTTTTATGATTTTAAGCAGGAGGTAGAGGTGATGATCAAAAAAAAAACAAATTCCATAGAAAATTGATCATTGTTGATCTATGTATGAATATATATGTATTGAGAAAATTATAAATTGAAAGCCTCCTTTCCTCTATTGAGCAGCTATAGCTGTTGAGTCTTTCTGTAAATTAGCTTGCATTCGAACTTGATATTTCGGTGCTGAAAGTGGTCGACGAACTGGATCAACATTGTGCTTTTTTATATTATTGATCTGATCAATGTTATCATCATTATTATTATCATTATTATTATTATTATTATCACAATCATTTTTGTTATCGCTGATCATATGATGATTGAATTTTTCAAAAAATGGTGATGTTGAAGTACTATATCCTGGTGGAAATACTCTACAAGGATCATAATTCATATGAATTGTTGAACGACGTCTTAACATTTCCACAGCTTGTAGACGACGTTCTCGTGCAGTAGGTGTTTCATGATGTAATAAAAATGGTGATATACTTGCTGGTATATCTAAATCATATTCATCTTCATTTTCATCATGAATTTCATGATGTTTATGATGATTTGTACCATCATAATCAGAAAATTTTTCTTTATTTATCATGTCTGACTGATCAATCAGCGATAATTGATTCAACTCTTGTACATCATTATGAACTCGGATTAATTCTGAGAAATATGATACTAAACTTTTAACATTAGGAATTGGTGTATCACGAGTTTTGACTAAATTTGGAAATAAATCAGTGGCAGATTCTGTTGAACTATTATTATTCAATGTTTCAATATTGTTTGAATTTTTGTTCAATAGTAAAGAATTCATATTCATTGTATTTGATAAATTACTTGATACTTTACTATTCATATGACGTATTTCTGATGTGATCACAGTGGGATTATTCTTTTTCTCCGATGGAATTCTGTCGGTATCATGTAACTTTGGTTTCGGTGCTACACGTGGTGCAACAACTGTCAATGATGTCGCTGAACATCCATATCCATCAGAATCAATATTTAAGCTGAGTGTGGGAGAATTTTTTCCTGGGGAAGATTTACACTGAACTGTATTAGCTTGACTAGTCAATACTCCTGAATCTTTAATAGTTATAATACGTTCATTCTGTAATTGATGATTATTATTATTATTATTAGTAGTAGTAGTAGTATAGAATTTTGAACCTGAAGTAATCTCATCAGTAGGTATTGATCGAGGTGAAATTTCTTTATACACTTCATTCGATAAGGTGTTTTTTACAAAATTATTATGATGTGATTGATTTGTCACTGGATCCAATTTTTCCATAGTTATTCTTTTCTCTATACTACTTACCTCATTGTTAGTAGTGTGATTCATATTGCTATTGTTGCTAAAATTATTATTATTATTATTATTATGACTTAAATTATTCACAAATTCTAATTTAATTTCACTAGACGAAGTATTTGTATAGTCAGACATTGGTCGACTGATTATTAAACTACTTCCATCATTCTGTACATCATCGGTTTGTTGTTTAACAATTTGTATTTTAAGCTCTTTATCTGCACATTGTTGTTGTTGTTCCTGTGCATTGATCCAACGTTCATAATCTTTGTGTCCTTCATTATCAGTAGTTACAGCGATAGCATTATCATCGTCATCGTCATCATCATCATCATCATCATCATCATCATCTTCATCGTCATCATTGTCTTGTTCATTAGAATATTTTGATGAATGTATAATATAATCTTTATCTTGATATTCTTCAGGTGGAAGTGGTGATATAGTCGGTGAACTGGCTGTATCACCTAATGTACCAAGTTGAATCCATTGAGTAATATGTTGTTGTTTATCAGCTTCATTCATTTGTCTTGGTTTAATATCAACAATAATTTTATTACAATCTGATCTAGATGATGATTGACTAGATGGTTTTAAACTTTTTGGCAAATGATCATTTACTTGAATATAATTAGAATTATGATCATTATCATTGTGAATCGCATTATCATGAGATTGATGCTGTTCATTATGATTGTATGCTTTTCTGGTGATTGATGTATTATATCGATTATGTGTTTGATGACATCCAGGAGATTGAAATATAATACGTTCATAATCATCTTCTCTATCATGATATGAATCATGATGATGATGATGATGATGATGATTGTTACCATTGGCTGAATTAATAAAATGAGGAGTTGAACATTTATCCAATGATACACATGAATAACCAAGTGAATAATTGGAATTTTTTACTTTTTTACGTTTTATTGATGAACGTCCACATCCTTTACAAATGTAAGTACGTATTTTTTCATTAGATTTCATATTTAAACAACTATCACTATTATCTCGATTGCGTTCAAAATGATGTTGATGGTGTTGATGATGATGTTGTTGATGATGTTGATGATGATGATGATGATTATGTGGACGATGATGATTATGATGATAAAGATGACTTGATTGACCAGTAGGACTTTTTCTATAAGTTGTAAAATTGTCATTTTGTACATTAGGCATAGAGCTAGAAGTTGGTGCAGGTATAACAAACATTGCAGTTTTATATAAACCAATTTCAGCAGTCTGTTCAATACTTTTTTGTGAAGGCAATCTTGTACAAAGTGAACGTGTTGATAAATGTTTTTCATGACTACTTAGAGGTCGATAATTTGTTGATATATCATCTGTTTGAGTAGGATTCAAATGATTTTGAAAATTATAAAGAATAGGACGTCTATGTGATTCGGTACCAGTAAGAAGTAAGTTGTATCCATCATAAGTTTCCAATGTATTGTCTCGATTGCATTCTTGATGAAAAGGATTTGAACGGCATCTTACTGATGAATAAAATTTTAATCCATCGTTTAATGCTCTATCATTGATGGAGCCTGTGATTGTATTGAATCTTGAATGTGATCTGTTACTGTGAATACTTTTTTTACTAGAATCTTTATAGCCATTCAACTCAATTTCATAACTTGATTTAATATTACAATTGCCATCAGATTGAATTGGTAATTGATGAAGTTGTGATGAACGTTTTCCATGTGAATAATCCAATTCAGGATATTGAATTACATTATCTGTATTCATTACTTGTAAACTGTTGTTAGAATATATTTTTGGAGCTGAAAGTGGACGATGGTATTCTGACATATCGTTTTTTCTGTAGTTACAATTGGGAGTATAAATAATAGTAGGTTCAAATTGACAACAACGTTTACTACAACGTTCAGTTTTTGACTTTCTTCCACTTGGTACAGTAAACGTTCCAGAAGTAAGCGTTGATTCACTGAGTGACGATCCTAAATTGATTAAAAAAACCGTAAAGTTCAGCAGATGATAACCATTAAATAAAAGGGAAAATAAAGTAGCTTAGCAGAGCATTTATTTGATTGTGTTAGACTTATGGAACCTAATAAATAGCTGAGGGTCTCAGTCAAGCAATATTCTCTTTCCAGTTTTCGACACTAAATACACCTGGTGAAAATCATCTTCAACCTGAACAGTCCCCACAAATCTTCGTCATTTACGTTAACCATTTATTGAATAAACTCAAGTTAATCCAGGAAAGACATCTATCAAGTAGAGAATCACATTCACTAAAAACATGCCCCACTTTCATACAGTCAGAATTCAAAACGGTGACTAAATCTTTTATGATGTTTATGAACAAATTATTTGGACGTCAACTATTTGAATTTTATCAAGCAAAATTATTGATTTGTAAGCTTTCAGTAAATAGATGTCAGCCATCAAATTATTGGATGGACTTTTAAAGAATAAATTTCTTTTTTTCAACCGACCAACGGACAATTATGATATAAAATTGGGGGGAGGGGAGGAAATTGATTTTATGAGTAAACCCTCTTAAAGTTTCAAGGTCGAAATGATCATTTTGTTCCTTAAAAGGACTACATACTTTGTGATCTTGTTCTACAACTAATCAATAATATCTATAACACAGAAGTGGTTGAGTTAGTGCAGTTATCAACTTAAAATACTATCATGATCACAAATTTAAGGCAAGATCGCAAAACACCAATGTTAATAAAGCAATCAGGCACTGCCGGTATAGCTGTAAGATATTAATTATTATCAACTAATTCCAGATTTCCAGTGTAAACTTTTGGATCTTTTCAAGATCGTCACCTGTGAACTACTCTGGATCAACTTTTTACACTTCTGAAAATTATTGTTTATAGAAATAAAGTTTAGTTTCATCTGAGAAAATGTGTTCTCGAAATAATTATTCGTAAGAGATAATGAATACCATTATTTCTTGTACATATTTCAGTGATATTCCATTGAAATATTCGAACCTGGTAATGTTATATCCTTGTATTGTTCATTTGAATAGAATCGTTTTGTATCTATATGAGAATTTATTCATTGTAATTGGCTTTGAACAAATTCCGAAATATTTTTTTTCCGTTAATAAATTCACCAACTCATAAGTAGACATTCCGTCATCGATTGTAATTATCACCGTTCGGAAACGACAATTACTGAAGAAAGCTATCGGTGTGTTTTCCCCGAAACGTGATAAATTATTCATGGTCATAAGGATAACTCGTGTTCGCACTGTGTCTATGTTGACGACGTTAGAACCCCAGAACTCACTTGACAAAGGTCCTAATTTTGGATTTTAGTCATGGGCTGACCAATTGACCTTGAGGTCACATTTCCCACCAGGAAAATCCATGACTGTCATTGGTTGACGTATCATTTTAGTAAGCTATTTTATGCCTCTCCCAAGGACGTTTCTATCGTGTATAAATAAACTCGATTTGTGTGCTTGAAAAACCTCGATTTCTGGGTGATTTTAGAATACACTTTTTACGTCTTGTCAAGACTTCTTCATCTACTCAGTG